CTGCAAACACAGATGGTTCCATGCACAGCTCAGTGTTGGCACCCAGAGCCTGAGAAAAGGTGGAAATTCTCTCTGCACTCCCCTCAGGCTGCTCTGAGGTTTCAGCCAGAGGAGAAGGAACACAGGGACCATGGAACTTGGAATTTGTGTCAGGACAAGGAATTTTGTCTTGATTTTAGGAGCAGATGAGGGGGGTGTTTACAAGTGGCTCTTAACAAAAGCTGCTCTGCTTGCAAATCTCCCCCAGCCACTGTGGGCTCTCCCTGTACCTTAGCAAATAAATTGAATTATTTGAATTACAGAAACACTGAATGTTTGGGTTGGAAGGGACCTTAAACATCTCATTCCAACCCCTGCCATGGCAGGGACACCTCCCACTGTCCCAATGTCCAACCTGGCCTTGGGCACTGCCAGGGATCCAGGGGCAGCCACAGCTGCTCTGGGAATTCCAGCCCAGCCCCTCCCCACCCTCTCAGGGCAGAATTTTTCCCCAATATCCCACCCAACCCTTCCCTCTGGCAGTTTGAAGCCATTCCCTGTGTCCTGTCCCTGTTCCTGTGGATCTGAGACGTTTTTCCCCCCTGAGCTCCCCACACTCCTCACCCATCACATAAATGCAGATGGCATTGACTGAGTATACTTTAAAAAAGAAAGAAATTTACTGATCTCTTTTGAGCTTCTTACCTGAACATTTGGGCTGTGGTTTAACAAATCTAAATATGGTGCCAATGCATAAACATCTGGCTCCAGGGAGAAACATTCCCTGCGTGGATGTTTCATGTAGATTGTCCTGGTATTTATAGTGCACCAAGCCCACTCCAAAGCACTGTAATTAAAAATAGTTCCTGTGTTCTCAGCAAATAAAGGCTGCAGGGAAGAGAAGAAAGCTTTGGAAGATGTGAACAACTCTTGGATCATCATTTTTTGCTCCTGAGCCTTCTTTTTTAATGGTTTTGGGAGAAGATTTATGATATCAGCTTCCAAACAAGCAAGGCAAGTGTAAGTGTTGGGTAAAACATCCAGGTAGGGCTTCCATGGAGATTTCTCCCCTGCGTGTTTCTCTGCTATCAAAAACGTGCACAGTGCCAGCAAAGGAGACACAGGGGGCTTCCATCTATTGGAAAATAAAAGTAAATAAAAATTTAAAAAAATAAAAATAAAAATTCCAACGCAGCAGACCTGCAGAGCTGAGATGGGAAATGGACACAGCAGTGTTTTACCTCTCTCAGAGCTCTTTGGAAGTTAGAAATAACCTCTATTTAAAACTTCTTTGTAGTTCATCTCCAAATCCTTTGGTTGATTTCAAAGGGGCAATAAAAGCTGGTTTGTAATAACAATTTCAGGTTCATCCCTTGGGTTGGGTTTTTTTAGGATATACAAGTATTCAATGCCCAGCATGGGACTTTGTTCCAAATTTTCCAAATTATTCCATATTTTCTAAAAGGCCCTGGCTTTGCAGCCCAGTTTTATCTTCTTTCTCCTATTCCAGCTGACTCCCAAATTCCCAAATAAAAAATTCCTAATTGAATTTAGGGCCAAGAAGGCTCTGAGGCAGCTCCAGCTCCAGCCTGTGCTCTCTTTCCAACTCTGCCAAGCCAAAAAAGGAATGTGCAATATTAAAACTTTTTCCCTATCTGAGCATTCTACATCCCTGAAATGCTGGCACCACTCTGGATATTCAACTGAAAGCTTCACCAGCCCTTCAGAGGATTCATCACTGCTGAAAAAAAAAACCCACTAAAGGCCATCAAAGTGTCACTTGTCACTTACTTCACAATGTGTCCTCCCAAGCAGCTGCTGAGGACGGTTGCAGTGGTGAGCAAACACTTCTCAGGCAAGGAAATAATCAGATCTCCTGCCTTTGAGGGAGGAGGAAACAAAAAATTACAAAGAACAGTAAAAAAATCAAGTGTAGGGACTCATCTAAGCAATGTGGGGACTGGTGGTTTCACATTATGGCTGCAACAGTCTAAAAGTCAGAAATGACATTCACAACAGAATTCTGAGCTTTGATTGTTGCAAAAATCATTAAATGTCAAAAAAACCCCAAAAACCTGAAGAGCTCCTGCATTAGAAACAACAACACTCACCTGAAGAGCTTTTATTGTCATCAATCCTCTTCCTGTCTCTGAAAAAGGAACAAAGAGCAGGAGTAAATAAATGTGGAGATGGAAAAGCTCTAAAAGAACAGACACTGTGTCTTACAAAACAGAAATTCAATTATGGACTGCTCCAGATATATCTCATTTCTTTGCTCTCCAATTGTCTTTATTTTTCAGGATCTTTTCCCTGCATATCCTGCAGCATTTGCTGTCCAGTTCTATCAATTATTCAGGTTTTTTTTTCTCCCACTCATAGCAATTATTTACCTTTTTTTCTCCATTTTTTTCCTCAAACACATCTTTCATCACCAGCTGCAGCTCTTGGTTTCAGAGTTTTAACTAAATTTCAGCATTTCTAGTCACAGTATTTTTCTCTGATCCATTCTATTCTTTCTGCTCTAAAATATTACAAAACGTTTTAAATATAACCTACATAAAGAGAAAAAATATAAGTATAAATATTTACTGTAAACATTACTAAGTGAACCTCAGCTCCCTGCTGAGGGGATAAAAAGATAAACAAGTTATATAAGTTAGAAACTTGTTATTCAACAAGGTTAAATTCCAAAAATTGTTTTATTAACACTTCAAATTTTGGCTTTTTCAGGCCTCCATATCTACTTTTTCATGTTAAATTAAAATTCCAAGAATCCTTGGAAGAGTATCAGTAACTGTTTTTTCCTGATGCCAGATATGGTGCATAATTCAAAATGAAAGCAGGAATCTACAATTATTAGGAGATTCAGAAATTTCTACCATCAATAAATAATTAAAGCATTACCCCAGAACTCTGCTGGCCTTAAATTACTGTCTTCAAATCCTCTCTCTTTTAGCCACTTCTTAAGTTTAATGTATTCCAGCTTGTGACTGCAGTTGACTAAAAATAGAAAAAAAAAAATTAATGTTATTAAAGAGCATTCTGTTGGACAATAAATGAAATATAAACATTTTACTGTATAGTCAGAAAAAAATGTATTTTGGACATTTTAAAGCAGATTAGCAAGAAAGACTCTCATTGAACTAAATAAATTTTGGGTCTCTGGGAGATCTCAGTAATGTGTGAGTTATTCAGCATATCCAAGGAATTTTACAATAATGTAATATTTGCCATTGGGCAGAAAAGAGAGCTCAGAAAATTCACTATGCTCTGCTTGAGACTGTAAATTAATGCTCAGAAATTTGCATATAAAAAAGGTAACATTTATAAATGTAATTTTCCAAGCACGAAGGCTTTTGAAAATAGAAATAAGAAAATGATAAAATGACACCTTGATTAACAATTGGTTATTTCATTATTTAACTTCCAGGTGTGATGATACCTCCATCCATAAAACCCTTCAAGTGTTTTCTTCTTCTCTTTCGACCTGTCCGACCTCTGCTTTTCTTCATATTAAGAGAGAGATTTTTGCCTTTTTTAGACAACCTGAAATTAAAGAAAAAAAAATTAAAATAACTTATTAAGAAATATTTAAAGTCACTTTCAAATTTATTACTGTGAGGGTGTTTTTTATTATTATTTAATTTATTACACAAGGTGCCCAGAGCAGCTGTGGCTGCCCCTGGATCCCTGGAAGTGTCCAAGGCCAGGTTGGACATTGGGGCTGGGAGCAACCTGGGATAGTGGAAGCCATGGGATGGGATGGGATAATAGGATGGGATGGGATAATGGGATGGGATAATGGGATGGGATAATGGGATGGGATCATGGGATGGGATCATGGGATGGGATGGGATAATGGGATGGGATAATGGGATGGGATCATGGGATGGGATCATGGGATGGGATCATGGGATGGGATCATGGGATGGGATGGGATAATGGGATGGGATAATGGGATGGGATAATGGGATGGGATGGGATCATGGGATGGGATCATGGGATGGGGCAGGATGGGATGGGATGGGGAGGGATGGGATAATGGGATGGGATAATGGGATGGGATCATGGATGGGATGATGGGATGGGATGGGATCTGACATGGGATAGGATGGGATCTGGCATGGGATAATGGGATGGGATGGGATGGGACAGGATCATGGATGGGATGGGATCTGGCACGGGATGGGATCTGGCACGGGATGGGGCAGGATGGGATGAGATGGGGCGGGATGGGATAATGGAATGGGATAATGGGATAGGATCTGGCATGGGATAGGATGGGATCTGGCATGGGATGGGATCTGGCATGGGATAATGGGATGGGATAATTTTTCATAGAATCATGGAATATCCCGAGTGGGAATAAACCCCCTGGGATCACCCAGTCCCACCCCGTCCCTGCCCAGACCCCCCAGCAATCCCAGCCTGGGCATCCCTGGCAGCTCCTGGAGCTCTGTGCCCATTCCCTGGGGAGCCTGGGCAGTGCCAGCACCCTCTGGGGGAAGAGCCTTGCCCTGATCGCCTTCCTTTTGCCAAAACTGCCCTGAACCGAACCCTCAGAGCGCAGCTTTTCCCTGCCAGCAGGGAGGGCCTCAGGGAACCGGGATCCTCCAGAGGCCTCCATCCCATCCCTCCCCATCCCAATGGGCTGAAAAGACCTCAGGTATCATCGAGTCCCAATCCCATCCCATATTATCCCATCCCTGTGCTAACCAGACCCCGTTCCCCTCTCTTCACAAACCCCCGGGACGGGAGGGAGCGAAACGGCCCCGGCAGCGCTGCGAGAGCGAGAACTTCCCGAGGCACCGCCCGTGCCCCGCCACCTCTCCCGGGGAGCCCAGGCTGTGATTCCCGAGTCTCTCCCGGGCTGGAATCGCTGCCCGGTGTCTCAAACCCACAAACCCACCGGCTAAGGGGACACAAACTCCGACATTCCCTCGCTGTCCCTCTCGGCGAGTCCCCTCCCGCTCTCCCGCCCCTGAGGCGGGGCTGCCCCGCCATCTTAGGGGCGTCCCCATCTCTCTCCCCCGCTATTTGGGAGTGTCCGCGTTTCTGGAGTAAAGTGTCGTGTCCTCGCTGTGTGGAGCTGAGGGACAAGGGAGAGGTGTTTGCCGTGTTGGAGGTGAGTTATGGGGTGCTGGGTGTGTTCCCCCCCGGATCTTTCACCCCCGTGTCCCCCCTGAAGGCCTCGGGGTTCATGGCGGGCCCCGGGTTCCTCCCCGTGAGGGGGACGAGAGCGGCGGGGACAGAGGGAGGCTTGAGGTGAGGTGGGAATGGCGCTGCTGTCCCTGGGAAGCGGCTCTGGAGATTCTTGGAGTGTTGTAGGGTTAACCCTGCTTAGGGTCGCGAGTAAATTTGGAAGAGAGACGCCAAAAAGGAGCAAACGCGGCGTTTGAACTCGCTTTTATGGGGGAAATGCAGCTTCTTTAAATACACTGTTAGAAAAGCAGCAAGCCAAGTTTTCTGTTGCTGCGTTACACAACCAGCCATTGTAATCAGTCTGCTCCTTTCTCCGAAAAGGCTCTAATTGCTCCTCCTGCCTGGCACTGGAAGATAAAGCTCCTCCTTTTTTTTCTTTTTTTTCTTTTTTTTTTTTTTTTTAAATGGTTTGGGACCTTAAAGATTATCCAGTTCCAAACCTTGCCGGGGACAGGGATACCTTGCACTTAGACCAAGTTTTGAGCCTGAGGTTTTCAGCAAAACTTGAGCTGAACCAATTGAATATTCCAAAAAGATGGAAAGTCTTTCTGTGATGTATAAGTACAGGGGTTTTTTTTACTCCTACGAAAAGTTAATTTACTACTAAAAATTGCTGACTGACGTTTTTTAGTTGAGACGCTTCTTTTTTCTTTTTACCCTTCACCTGTTGGCCTTTCTTCAGAACACTTAACACCAGATTTCTCTGTGAATACCTCCTGCTACCTTAGGCATTTACACGGCTTGCACAGGAATGTAGTTTCACATAATCCAAAGTGGAATTTTAAACAGTATTTTAAAGAAAAAACCACTTGCCCAAGGAGGCTGTGGACTCCACACTGCTGGAAATGTTCGAGGCCAGGTTGGACAGGGCTTGGGGTAGTGAAAGGTGCCCATGGCAATGGGGTGATCCTGAAGGTCCCTTCCAACCCTAACCATGATTCTAATGATTTAAATTCCTTTCCAGACATCCATTTTGTGCGCCTGCCTGAACTTTTCTTTCCCGTTAGCAATTCCTGTGACCTTGGCTCGTGTTCTGAGGGGACAATGTCCAGCGTGCCAGTGGCTGTGGTGACGGGGTCCAACAAAGGGGTTGGCTTGGCCATCGTGCGGGCCCTGTGCAAACAATTCCCGGGGGATGTGTACCTGACATCCCGGGATCCTGGCCGTGGCCAGGCTGCCGTGGCACAGCTCCAGCAGGAGGGGCTGCGGCCGCTTTTCCACCAGCTGGACATCGATGACCTGCAGAGCATCCGAGCGTTCCGGGACTTCCTGAAGGACAAGTATGGAGGGATCAACGTGCTGGTGAACAACGCTGGCATTGCTTTCAAAGGTAGGAAGTGCCCTGCTGGGATGGTCCTGTGTTCTGTGGTGAGGGCAGTGGGTGCTGCAACATTTCTGTGCCAGTGCCACGCTGTGTTTTTGTTTGGGCAAACTTCCTATCTTAAGTATGATGTGGGAACAGTGGAGGGTCAAGTGAGCAGCTCCCAGGGAGGTTTGGAGTGCCCATCCCTGGTGGTGTCACTTGGCCGTGGCACTCTGTGCTCTGGGCTCAGGCACAGCTGGGATTCCATGGGCTGGGAGAACTTTTCCAGCCATAATAATTCCATGATTCTGTAAACATGCTTCCCTGGAGGGTTGTGTTTGCACCACATGGAAGTGTTGAGGCACACAGGGAAGGTGAGCTGGGTTGGGTTAATGGCCTCAGTGCCCAGGAATTCCACCAGGGCCATGGGAGCCTGTCACCATTGGGAATATTGGCTCTGTGCCTCAGGGAGCTGTGGATTCTCTGTTCTCCACACCCATGCTTTGTTCCCTGCATTATCTGCTCAGGGATTTCATCTAATAAAAAAATCCACCTTTGTCCCTGGGTGGATTTTGCTGTCTTCAACTTTTTCAGGCCATTCACCTCAAATCCTGCTGTGCTGAGCAAGAATTTAACCTTTCCACCTTCCACTGGGCAGAAAGGCAGGGAAAGTCAGAAAGACACAGCAGTTTCAAGGTGGAAAGATGCATTTTTTTTGTGTGTATGAAATCCAGGAGCCTGTTAGTTCCAAACAGAGCAAATCACAAATCTGGCTGATGGTTTTATGGAGGGGATTGTGCCCCTGAGCTCTGCTCTCGTCTGCAGAGCTGTCCCAGCTTGGGGAGGAGCTGGAGCTGCTGCAGAGAGCCCAGAGGAGGCAGCAGGATGAGCAGAGGGATGGAGCAGCTCTGCTGGGAGGAAAGGCTGGCACAGCTGGGATTGTTCAGCCTGGAGAGGAGAAGCTTTGGGCTGACCTAAATGGGGGAATGGCTTCACACTGGAAGAGAGCAGGGAATTTCTCATGGAGTGGGAGTGCAGTGATGATGCCCTGAAGCTCAGTCACTCTTTTGCTTGTTACTTTATAGGAAAATTGCTTAAGATCAGTTTAATAGGAGGCAGCTTTTAACAGAATTGTCTGAGCTTCAGGGTGTGCTCAGGAAAGAATCCAGCAGCAGTTAAAATATCACTTCCAGATGTTTAGCCTTGACTTTCCTCAAGCTGACAACAAGGAGTCAGCAGCAGGTCACACAATTTAGGATGTGATAAAGGACCCTCTTGTATCAAACACAGAGGGTGCAACATCTGTGTAAGAACTTTCTGTGATGCTTCTCTCATAGTTTTAATTCTTGCTTCCCAGATTGGCATTTTTTACCCAAACTTGCTTATTGCCTCACCAAATTTTTGCTGCCATCCCAGAATTTATGCTTTCCTCTCTTATTTGTAGCATCATGTGCTATTGCAGTCTGTCAAAGATTAGATTTGCCATTAAGTTTTGTTATTTTGGTTTTGTGCTGCGTTTGTCCAGCAAAGTTTTTAATCCAGCAGAAGCTTCTTGTATCAAATGGTGGTGGAGCTGTGGTTGTGTACTGGATGAGTACACAACTCTCTCTCTCTCTCTCTCTCTTCTCTCTGGGAAGAGTTTTTCTAATAAAGCTTCTGAAATCAGGGGAGTTCAGGATGTTACAATATATCCTGTTAGACACATGGGTGGGGTTTGGAGTGTAAGGAAGGGAGGATATGGAAGCAGGAGTTTGGGGTTCTGTAGGATTTTACTTCTCCCCCTGGCCATGGGTCATGATCTGGCTTCATGTGTGAGATTTAAATGCAAATGAGTGATCTGCACATGAGTGTGGGTCATTAAATGTGTTTTGCAATAAAAGCCACATCAAATAACGAGCTGTTACAACTTCTTTTTTGAATTCTCATGGATTTGGAGACAAGTGATCACCTGCCCAGTCCATGCTGGTGGCTCCATTCCAGCACAGAGGGAGCCTGGAGCAGCAGAGGAGCAATGCTGGGACTTGAACTTTTGGGATTTGGTAACTTCTATTGAAACAGTGTTACAATTCTAATTTTTGTTAATTTTTTCCCCTTTCTTTCTACCTCTTATGACCAGTTAATGACACCACTCCATTTGCAGTCCAAGCTGAGGTTACACTGAAGACAAACTTTTTTGGAACCAGGAATGTTTCCACAGAATTGCTGCCTCTTATGAAGCCTTATGGTAAGTGAAACATAACAAGTAGAGAAAGAGTTTTGTTTGAATTTTGGCCCTTTTAAATGGGAAATCCTGTCCAGTCTCAGGCACTGCACCAATGTTTCAGTTTGATGTGTTTGGTGCTATAAATGAAATGTAGTCTCCTAATATTTGAATACATTGAGGTTTTCAAGAAAAAAAAGAAGTCAAGTAGATGAAAAGCAGGTTTTTATTTCCTGAGGGAGAAGGAAAAAACAGAGTGAGTGAATTTAAGGGAGAGAGGAAACAGTGCCAAAGTTGCTGTCTAGTCCTCTTGTTCTACAGTGAAGGATGACTGTTAATAAAGTCATTAACAGGATTAATATTTGTGTCTTTCAAGATTTAATCCCCAAATTCAGTACTTTGAAGTAGCAGGAAAGAGGGGAAACAGTGCAACATCATTTTGGAGATGAGTGATTTACTGATTCAGCTGGCTTGTTCTTCATACTGAAGTGCTGGGAGATAAATCCCTCAACTTGTAAATCTCCAAGTATTATTTCTACTGTAATAAGAGTGTACTTGCTGATTGTGAAGTTGTTCCCTGGAGTTTTATCTGAAACTCTTGCAGTTTCACACCCTAAATGACCTCTCGTGGTATTTACTAGAAATAAGAACACTGAGTTAATCTGATTTTCCAGGAACTCTGCAAAACAACCCAACCTCAGGTATTCCCTGAGGAGTGAATCCAGAACTGGAATCACTTCAGTGTGGGTTTAAAATACGTGGAAATAATGAGTTTTTATTATTTTTTTCAGGCCGGGTGGTGAATGTTTCCAGCATGCAGAGCAGCTTAGCCCTGGGACGCTGCAGTCAGGAGCTCCAGCAGAAATTTCGCAGTGACACCATCACCGAGGATGAGCTGGTGCAGCTCATGAACAAATTCGTGGAAGACACCAAGAAAAATATCCATGAGAAGGAGGGTTGGCCAAACACTGCCTATGGGGTGTCCAAAATCGGGGTCACTGTCTTGTCCAGGATCCAAGCCCGGCTGTTAAATGAGCAAAGGAAAGGTGACCACATCCTCCTCAATGCCTGCTGCCCTGGCTGGGTGAGGACAGACATGGCAGGTCCCAAAGCCACCAAGTCCCCAGATGAGGGGGCTGAGACCCCTGTTTATCTGGCCCTTTTGCCTTCCAGTGCTGATGCTCCTCATGGCCAATTTGTCAGTGACAAAACTGTCAAACCCTGGTGAGTTCAGGGAGGTGGGGATCAAAAGGGGCCTGAGCTCCTTTTCCTGATTTCCCTCCTAATTCCATCAGTGCCAGCCCTTTTCCCACTCCCCTGGGATGGATCTCAGACATAGAGCTGGGATGAGGAAGCAGGTGCCTTACCTCTCATCACAGTAGAATTTTCCAGGATCCAGAGCTGTTCTGGAGGCTGCACAGGGTTTTCTAAAGAGGATGGGATTGTTTTAGAGTTGCTGTGATCTGTCTGGGGGGAGACTCGAGACCAGAATCACTGTTGGACAGACATTCCTTACTGTCAGAACTAAATGGAATTAGGTGAAAATAAAAATAGCACTGATCCACCATTTATAGCCAAACATAATCAGTTGGGGTTATTAATATCTCAATAAATAATTACTCATTTATATTCTGGTACTAAAAACTTATAAAGCTGGGAAATATATTTTCATTTTCTGCAGCTACGTTTGTGGCTGGGATTTGTGATGTCTGCACTGACTACAGAGAAAATAAACTACACACCTGATATAGCAAAGTGTTCCTCAGTTCCTTTATTGCACAGCCAGAAGTTTCCTGAATAAAATCTGAATTAAGTGCTCTCCACATCACAGCAATAAGAACTGTAAGTGATGTGGAGAGCTGTACATTTGTTTAAATGCTGCTGATTGCCTTTCAAACTCTCAGAGTTGAAAAATTGCCTCTTCTGAGGCTGAGGGAGCTGGAAACAATTGCCCATAAAGCTGTTAGTAATGACAAATCAATAATGGGCTCGTTAATTGTTAATCAGGAGTCAGGGAGGTGATGCTGACTGCTCAGAACAGGTTGGGTTGGGAAGCCTTGGAGTGGAAGGCATTGGGAATAAATATTGTGGGAGGGTTTAAATTGCTTATCAGCACAGAACAAAGGGCTGGTTATAAATTGGTTTTTTTAAGCATACAGGAGCATTGTTTTTGTGAAGAATTACCTCATCAGTCATGCCTCAGAGCTCCTTGAAGGGAAGGCTAAAAGTTCTCAAGGTAATGTATTCTCTGGGAGGAAAAAAAACCTCAGAGGCCTTGGGTTTAGGGGGAAAAAATACAAAATCTGAAGTGTAAAGTTTTGGTTGCTACACTGTAACTCAACCCCCCTGATATGCTACAGAGAAAAACCAGTTGTGTTACTGGGATCTCAGCAAAACAAAACGTGGCTCTTGGATTTAGTCAGAGCTTGAAGAGATTTAATCCAGTGGGGAATCCTGCCTAATTCTTCATCCCTCAAGTGCTGCCTGAGTCACTGAGCTTCAAAAGCTGTGTTTCCATCTGGGTGGCATCTCCAAACACACCTTGGCCTTTGTTCTGTGCAGAACAGAATCGTGGTTACCTTGACCACAGCCAGGAAATATCCTGTGCTAAATACAAATCAGTTTTGAAGTATCCCCTGGGATCTGGAAAGCTCCTGCTTTAAGTCTAATTCAGGATCTGCTTTGTTGGTTTGAGTTTTAGCTTCACCCGAATTTGTAGCTTTGCAAGTTTCACCAAAGGTGTTCAACTCGTCCTGGAGAGTTTTGTTGAGCTGTAAAAGTTTGTGTAGAACCCAGCCTGGAGATGAGAGGGCTCAGGGGTGACCTCAGAGCAGCTTTTCAGTTCCTAAAGAGCTGCAGGGGAGATGAAGAGAGACTTTCTGTAGGACCACAGAGTCAGAACAAGGGGGAATGGCCTGAATTGGAAAGAGCAGGTTTGGATTGGATATTGGGAAGAAATCCTTTATGTGAGGGTGGCAAAGAGAGATTATCAATTCCCCATCCCTGGAAGTGTCCAAGGCCAGGCTGGACATAGTTTGGAGCAACCTGGGGTAGTGGAACCAAAGTTCCCTTCCATCCCAGACCATCCTGTGATACTTGTGTGCATTTCAAATTCTTAAATTTGTTAAACCAACTTCTCTGGGTCAGGGTGAGGAAGCCAAGTGGGAGGTGATGGCTGCAGAGTCACTGTCATTCCTCATGGAGGTGTTGATCATAAACAACTTCCCGTGGGAGGGACAGAAGGAAGGACAGGGGACAGAAGGAAGGACAGGGGACAGATGTTCCCACCTTTGCAACTGTGGTGGGGACTCGGGGAAGGAGAAGCAGCANGACTTTCTGTAGGACCACAGAGTCAGGACAAGGGGGAATGGCCTGAATTGGAAAGAGCAGGTTTGGATTGGGTATTGGGAAGAAATCCTTTATGTGAGGGTGGCAAAGAGAGATTATCAATTCCCCATCCCTGGAAGTGTCCAAGGCCAGGCTGGACATGGTTTGGAGCAACCTGGGATAGTGGAACCAAAGTTCCCTTTCATCCCAGACCATCCTGTGACACTTGTGTGCATTTCAAATTCTTAAATTTGTTAAACCAACTTCTCTGGGTCAGGGTGAGGAAGCCAAGTGGGAGGTGATGGCTGCAGAATCATAAACAACTTCCCGTGGGAGGGACAGAAGGAAGGACAGGGGACAGAAGGAAGGACAGGGGACAGATGTTCCCACCTTTGCAGCTGTGGTGGGGACTCAGGGAAGGAGAAGCAGCAGTTGGAGGTGGGAATTTGTGGGTCAGTCAGGAAAGAGCTTGTGTTGGATCCCACAAACGTGGGGATTTTGAGCTTTCTGTGCTTTCCAGCACTGACCCCCTGCAGAACACTGCTTTGGACCTGAGGCCTTTAAAAAAGACTCCTTAATTTAAGTAATAAAGTTAAAATCACAGGTGTATAGTTAAATAAAAGAGTTTTAAATTTTATGATAAAATAATAGGTATAAGACAAAATAGAAAATTTTAAGTGGTGTCTCTTTAGGTGTTCATCTTCTTCATAGGTTTCAAATAATAGTTTGTGGTTGGTCAGTGCCACACTGAAGGTCATGGGAATTTAGTTATTGAGTTAAAAGTATAAATAAGTGTTAATTCTCTGTTAACACTTATTAACTCTCTTATTAATTCTCTGTTTAACTTTTTAAAACCTTGTAACAACTTAAATCTTTTTCCATTTTGCTCACTTCTAGCAGGTAGCTGGAAGTGCTACTGAACACTCTGTACTTTTTAATAAAATTTAATAAACAACCGAGCCCAAACACAAAAAAAAAATCAGTTTCCTTCATGTATTTTTTTCATCCTAGCTCTAAGCAAAAGCAAAAGAAACTAAGACAAACCACAAATGGAGTGGTACAAAACTCCCACCACTACAGGTGGGCACCCATTCCCTGCTGCCCCTGGAAAAGGGAATTTTCAGTGCCTGTGCCAGGCAGGGAGGGGCTCTGCACAGAGCTCCCATTGTCCAACCCAAATTTATCAATTATTTATTTCTATCTCTTTTATTTATTTTTTTTAACTGCCTCCCCTGCTTCACTCACAGGTCTGTGGTGTGGGAATTGTTTTGTTGCTCTCAGATTCTGGCACCTTTGCTGAGTGTGAGGTTTAAGGGTTAGGAAGGGTTGAAATAATCATGAAATAATCTCGAGCTGTTGTCCTGTACAACACTTCCATACATGATTTACTGTTTTCTTCATGGCATGTCACTACAACTGGAGGAGAACCATAGAATCACAGAATATCTGGGTTGGAAAGGACCTTAAAGATCATCCAGCTCTACCCCCTGAGAAAGTAATTCGAAAACATCTTAGGAAATACACTGTATTTTAGGACACAAATATCATGTCCTAAGAAAATAATCAAAAATACAAATTATTTGCTTGGTCGGGCACGTGCTTAGAAGCTCTGACCAGCATTGCCAAGAATAATTGTAAAATTTAGGAATTGAAACTTGAATTGGTGGCATTGCAGTTTAGAAAGGTTAAATTCTTAAAATCTAGTCGGGAAGGGGAGAGGCAGGAGGTACCAAGGAAAGAAAACTGTATATCAATGTAACACTTACTGTACTTCTTGTACTCAACGTAATGCAACTTAATATTTAATGGGTTACTTAATACTTAATGTAACTTATCGGGGCTCATTGCTGAAACAGTATCCATCCAAATCTGAACAGTTTCTCCTCTCTCACCTTGAATAAATGGATACATTTCCCTTGATTTTTTTTTTTCCCGGATGCTTTGAATAATCAGGATTTTCTGTCTGTATGTTAAAAAAAAAAAAACAACTAAAAATAGACAGAGAGAGGGGAAGAAGGGGAAAAGGGAAGAAAAAAAGAGAAGAAGGCAAAGGGGAAGAGGAGGAAGAGGGGAAGGGATTACAGAGGGAAAAAAAAAGAAGGGAAGGAGAAGAGAAACCGAGGTTAAATACTATGTTTCCACAGTATATAAATCCTACAGGATCCTGTATTTTACTTCCCATGGGTATTTTGATTTTGTTTGGTTTGTTTGTTCCTTTGGTTTGCTTCGATCACAGGACTAAAAACCCTCCAGCACAATCCCTTTCTGCCAAGCAAACAGATGTCTCCTTACATCGAACTCGAGCCCTCTAGAAACGCAACATCCGACCTCTCTTAAAAACCATACAAATTTCCCAAAAACGCTTTTTGTTTTTTCTTTTCCCCTAAATCCAGCTGGAGCAGAAGCGAAGCTCCTTTACCTGCAGGGCGGCTCCCGGCGGGGCGGGGACAGGTGACGCTGTCCTTGTTTCCAGAGCATGGGAGAAGCGAGAGGCTCGGCCGGGTGTTCTCCCGGTTCTTCCCGGGGTTGTCCCCGTTCTTCCCAGGGTTATCCCGGGGTTGTCCCCGTTCTTCCCAGGGTTATCCCGGGGTTCTCCCGGTTCTTCCCAGGGTTATCCCGGGGTTCTCCCGGTTCTTCCCGGGATTGTCCCGAGGTTCTCCCGGTGCATCCCGGAGTTCTCCCGGTGCGGAGCCGCCGTCTCCTCCCACGCCGCCAGAGGGCGCTCAGCGCCCCGGCCCGCCCGCCGGGCTGTACCATCTCCCTAGTATGGGGGGGGACGCAGGTGACGCGCTGCGAGCTGTGGCGCGACGCGACAGAGGGTGACGCGGGGAGAAAGGTGACAGCGACAGCGTGCGACAACCACAGCGGGTGACAACACCGGCGGCCTCGTCTTGCAGGGACAGCTGGAGCTCTCCCGCACCGCGATGCCTCGGCGTTCCCCGCGCGGCGCTCGGTGGTGCGGGCCTCGCTGCGGGCCTGGCGGTGCGGGCGGGGGCGGCGTTCCCTAGGGCCGGGCTTCCATAGGACCGGACTTACTTCCATAGGGCCGGGCTTTCATAGGGCCAGGCTTCTATAGGGTCAGCTTTCCATAGGGACTGCTCCCACACGTCGCCGCCCGGGCTTCTACACGTCGTCGTGGGGGCCCTGCGCAGGTACGTGGGGATGGGGAATGGGAATAGGGATGGGAATAGGAATGGGGATGGGGAATGGGAATAGGGATGGGAATAGGAATGGGGATGGGGAATGGGAATGGGAATGGGGATGGGGATGGGAATGGGAATGGGAATGGGAGGGGACCCGGCTGCCCCAGGACACAGCGGCAGGATCCCGGAATGGCCGGGTTTGGGAGGGGATCACCCCATTCTGTCAAGACACCTGCAGCAGGTGACACAGGAGGGTTTGGAATGGCTCCAGACAGGAACATCCGCTCCATTGCCAGGGAATGGACACGGCCCCGAGAGCTCCGGGGTTGGGATTATCGGGGTCTGTCTGTGCAGGGCTGGATGATCCTGATGGATCTTTCCCAGCTCAGCATTTTCCAGCTGTTCCTGTGCTCCGCCGCCTCCATGGAAAGAAGCTTTTCCTCACGTTGAGGTGGAATTTCTTGTTTTAATTTATGGCCATTGCTCCTCGTCCTCACCGCTGAAAAGAGCCTGGCCCCATCAGTTGAATAAATATTTACAGCAGGATTTATTAAGGAAGTTTGTGACCTGGGATTTGGGTTATGTGCCTAAAGGTCACTGGCAAGTGGCTTTTGTATGGCTTTTAAATTCTTTTCTATTATTATTTATTTTCCTGCCTTTGTGTCCAAGCACAAACATGCCCTATTTGCCTTATTTACATTATTGGATTTTATCAAACCTTGCTGACATCTGGCAGCTGAGGTGCAGGAATATCAATCCACACTAAATCGTTACTTCCATCCCTGCTTTCCTGAATGGAAATCAACTATTTACCCCTCTTCTCACTGCAAAAAAATCCAAATTAAATATCTTGAGAACTGATGTGTCCTGTCAGCAAACCTGCTGCCTGATTCTAAGTGATCCAGACAAATCTCTTCTTCATGGAAGTGGCAGCAAAGCTGCTGGAAAAACTTCCCAGCTTCTGCTTTGTTCTCTGGGGTAAAAACAATAAAACAATCCCATGATTAAGAGCCTCAGATGAGATGAGGGAAATAAGGTTCCATTTCTTGCCCAGTGTTTATATCAGATTACTCTTAATTTTTGCTGACAGTATCTTGCAGCTTTTCCAGGTTGTTGGGTTTTATGGGAGGATTGACTTCCTTTCTTTTTTTTGAACAAGGAGAGTTGGATCCCAGTTTAATGTTATTCCCTGATTTCCTCTCTCTGCTGTGAGAAGCACTGCAGACATCCTGATAAAGTCAAAATTAAATCCTCTCTGTAGCCAAACAAGCCAGCCCAATCTGGCCCAGATGACATTGTGTGATAATTTTATTTTTCCATGGAGGTGGATCTGGCTTGGCTGGCACAGAGTGGTTTTATTGGCAATGCCTCAATCCTGCTCAGGTGGCTTAAACCTGCACTTAAAATCCTTTCTGGTTTTTTCATTTTATCCAGCATTTTTCTGGTCTTGAGAGTTTCCTACCAAAACCCTTCTCCTGATGGAGTTAAAGTTGTTTATTACATCATATTTAGTGTTCTAAAGGAGATGGAGGATGGCTTGGGTTTATTTCTGTGTCCAAACAGCAGGAAACTGAATGCAGATGTCCTTCAGAAATGTAAAATATTTTGTTACAGAGCTGTGATTTCTATTCAGTATCAGTGATGCAGCAGGGATTGACCTTTACCTAAACCTGGGCATATTTAAACCATTCTAGAAGAATATTTTTATGTTTTCTAACACAACTGATGTCAGAAGCAGCAAAAGAGAGAAGGAAGCACTTTTAAGTAGGGAAAATCCAACCATGCTTGGATTCCATTGTTCTAAACCAGGGTGCATTTGAATTTTTAACCAAAATACCTTGCAAAAGACAGGAAAATCAGGTGTGAACAGCCGATTTTTAAATATAAAAATATATGGCTATGTTCTGTTGAAACACAGGAAGATTCTAATGCATGGCTTGGCATTTTGGCACAACACCTCAGACTTGCACTTGAGCATCTGCTGCTGCCAAGTGGAGCTGGGAGAGCTCCTTCTGCTGGGGGCTGAGAGGCCTGGAGCAGAATTCCTCAGGAAAAAAATGTATTTACACAGCCAATATTTCCCATTCCATGCCCCAGGTGAGCTTGCAGAGCACAGGGGGATGAGTTATGAAAGCCATTCCCAGCTCCCCAAATCCTTTGGAGGGAGGCTTTGGAATCTTCCCCTTTGTTATTGTGTGATTTCCACCTGCGTGGAAGAGGAAAAAAAAAAAACAAAAAACACATTCCAGAAATATGAAAAAAAAGGAGTGAAAAATCTTTTGGAAAAGGCAGTGGGGAGACAAAGTCATGCCCAGGAAATTATTTTTAACTCGGTGTTGAAATTTTGCTCTGGTGATCTGTTTATTGTGCTGTCAGTGCTTCTCCGTATTTATCATCTCAGGTGTGGCAGAAATGAAATTTGGGTGATTTTTTTTTTGTAACTCTTTGCATGTTTGAATTTCCCAGGAGGTTCCACCTTGCTATGAGAAGCCAAGATGGATCCAGAAGAGCAGGATTTACTTGGGGATTACAGATACAGGAATTATTCTTCAGCAATTGAGAAAGCTTTGAGGAACTTTGAATCATCCAGTGAATGGGCAGATCTGATCTCTTCCCTTGGCAAACTCAATAAGGTACAGTGTAAAGGGATTTTTTTTCTCATTTATTTGTGTAGCTATGAATTTTTCTGTCACTTCCAGCACTTGGAAAAATTGAAAATTCACTCAAGAAAAATAATGGAAGGAGCTAAGTCAATATTTTTTATATAAATGTGAGAAATTCTGGTGAAACCAGCAGAGCTTTCCTGCAAATGGTATTTGTTGTCTTTATGCTACTAAATTAATTTAATTTTTGCATCAAAGAAATCCTCACTCTAAAGCAGCTAAAAATCTTTTCTAGAAAATGAGAAGTGACAAGTTTTAGAATATTTTTCTGTGTCAAAGCTTTTTTTTTTTTTAAAGGTCACATTTACTTGGCTGTGCCCTCCCCTTGGATTTGGGGAAATTTGGTGTCTTTTGTATGACCATGGAGAGAGACAGAAATATTATTTTGAAACAGAATTTCCACATTTCTCCCTTCAGTTTTTCATCATGATTCTGGCTCTTATCAAGAGCCAGAAGCCTTCAAAATGTTTTTCCCAAAAGGGAAAACATGAAATAATTAAGAGTGAGAGGCTTTGATCTTTTATCTTGACCTAGATGAACACTGAACTGCTGAGCACCAAACCTGAGCCCCTTCTTCAGGTACAGAATTGCCAAAATCTGTGGCAGCAGGGCAGAAAGCAAAGGAAAAGCTTTCAGCTGATCCAGCAGCCCATCTGCTGGGGGGAGGTTTTATGGATTTAATCTTTTTAGGAGCTTAAGAATTGGTGGAGCAAATCATCCCCTGTCTGTTATGTGAAAATCAGGGGCAGGTGTTGCCAAAAGGAAAATAAGATGTCACTAAACGTTCCCTGGACTCCTGGGATTGCTTGGTCTCAAATATAAATATTATTGTTGAGTTTTATCAGGGTGTTTCTGACAGAAAAATCTCATTTTTCCTGCAGATGAGCAGGAAGGAGTTCAAATTGTTTTTTACAAACTACACGTGGTTATAAAATTAAAGATCTTGGGAGTCACTTATGTGCAGGGATAACTGAGATTAACCACACATGAAAATGCTGAGAAAGGGAAGGACAAAACACAAGAAATCAAAAAGTTCAGAAGTTTTTTTTTTCCAGAGCAGTGTGAAATCTATTCTTGCCCATACAGGTGTAATATTTTTTTGAGACTTTTTCTCCTGCAGGCATTATTGAGACACAAACACTTTCTTATTTCCATAAAGCTCAGTGGCATCACCCTACAGGTAATCCCAGGTCTGGAAAAAGCAAGGCAGGCTCTTATTCCTTAAAAATTAAGTTAAAAAAACGGTGAAGAGGGACAACTCTGCTGCTTCTCTATTATTCCTTGATGATCTTAAAATTAAAATCTCTTCCAACCTCGATGGTTCTACTGAGGATAAACTGGAAGTTGTTTTTCACTTTCTCTGTTGCTCCAAATAACATTTTCTTGTAGAGCAGGGGAAACAACATCAGAATGCTCAGATCTGCAGAGATTTTATTTTATCATTTAAGGGAGATGAATTTTATGTGACTTGACACCACTTCAGCACAGACAGCTTCACCTTAGACAGGCAGGGGAATAAAGGGGTTTATTTTCTATTTTCTTGTTTTGTGACTCATCTCTTGCTTAAAGTAGGTCAGAGGATTGTTCTCCTGAGATTTTGTGTTTTCCTCGTGGGGTTTATGGGGAGCCTGAGGAGTTATTGCAGTTTTACCCTTTTTTGGGGGGGGGGGGCTGTTTTTTGGGTTTCTGAGGTCAGGAGAGATCAATCTCCCCTTCAGAGTTAAAAACCTGCAGGTACCAGTTGTGAGCATGAGAGAATTTGCAGACTTTGCTCTTTTATTTTACACCCCAAACTTACAAGGGAAAGATCTTGGGGAGGGGGGGGGTATTTTGAATAATGTGGGTGGAATAGATCATTCTGGGAAATGAGAAACACTGGAAAGTAATATTTCCAATAAAAATATAAATGGGCAGAGGCAAACAGGTGAATGAGACAGGCAGTAAATATAGATATCAATGTTTTAAAGAGGTTTCAGCTTCATTTTCAGTGAGAAATCACTTTCAGACTTTGATTAAAAAAGCTGCTGGGGTAGAGGGATGTTGCCTTTTAAACTTAAAAATAGCTGCTGGTTGTGTATAGGTGGGTTTATAAATGAAACAGCTGCTTTAAACATTGTTTTTTAGATCCAAAATACCTGTCACTGTTTTTAGAGTATGAACAAATAGCAAATATATATAAAATGTTCGTGTGCAGGGAATTTCAGGCAATTAAGAGGATAAAAATATGATGAAGTTAGGAAAATCTAAATTAGGGGTTTTTATCCAGGTATTCTAGGCATGTTTTTTCCATGAATTTCAACTCTGGCTGTAGGTAAATAGCAGATAAGTGACACAATTGGCAAAATGAAGAACTGAGGAGTAGAAAATCTTGGATTTTTGTTTAGGAAATAATGAAAGGAGTGGTTTTAAAAAAAAAAATCCCTGAAATTTGTGGTTTTGAGGCCATGCACAGAATTCCCAGAGCAGCTGTGGCTGCCCCTGGATCCCTGGCAGTGCCCAAGGCCAGGTTGGACATTGGGACAGTGGGAGGTGTCCCTGCCACGACAAAACTTGGAACAAAATCATCTTTAAGATCCTTTCCAACCCAATCCAATTAGCAATTTTAGTATGATTTGCTCTAAAAGAGCATTTTCAAACTGCTTTTTATCCTGCTCTGTAAATCCAAGTTTTAATCTTTACTCTGCAATTTCAAAGTGGTTTTTTTTTTGTTTTTTTTTTTTTTAATCGAACCACCAACAGAAAATAAATCTGAGACTTTTTGGTTCTGAAAGTTTTTCTTGGAGGTGAAGCTGCTCTCACCTAAATCCTTGTTGTGTTTGGAGGGGAAAGGAAAACAAAGGCCAGAAGTCCTTGCAGCTGCACAATCATTGTTTGAGCAGCCACCCTCAGTGTCACAATGTGGCTGCTCTTGAGGGGAGAGAAGAGGAGGATTCTTCTCCAAAGGGATTTAATGAGTGCAGCCATTAATTAACCACTTGCTTCATATGAAAACTCAGACATCCAGGGCTTTATATCAACTGCTGGCTCAGTTATACATTTATGGTGAAGACAAATCTTATTTCTGCTTTTGAGCAATTCCTTTGTTTTATTTAATTTATTTTTTTTTCTTCAAACCCAATGGACAAATGCAATGTGCAGAGTTTGGGATATTTTATCCACCTTCCTCCCCACTTTTTAATACAACTCCAGCTCCTGTTTTCCTTCTAACCAATTTTTAAATGAATTCTCCCACTTTAATTCTATTCGTGGTATTTCTATGGATGCTGAAGCTCTGTTAGGAATTGTTTTTTCACTTGGAAAATGAATCAGTGGAAAATAGAATCACAGGTTCTTCTTCTCCCCCTCTTCTCACAACCACTGTTGTTTAAACAAGAATTATGGTATCTCCTATTTGAAGATAATCTTAGAAATTGATGCTGCCTTTTCCTGGAATTCTAATGATGGAAATAAAAATATTTCCTTGATTTGCATGGAGTTTTTATCATTATTTTTAACAGATTTCTAGTGCAGAAGGGATTAAACCAGCAACTGAGGACATACAAATATTCCTCTGTGCATGTGGTTTAATTTTAAGGCACATGCAAAAAATAGCAAGTTTCCCTTTTGGAAAGAATTCTGTATTTTTATAGCCCAATTTCAGAGAAATTCTGAGCATCCTGAAGTGTTAATGTTTGAAAAAAAGGTGTGGGATGGGATCTCAAGTTTATTTATCTCAACCAGCCAGAGTTACAATTCCAGCATTCCTGGATCCTCATTCTTTTGTTCTTTTTTTTCTCTTGTGGGAGCTCAGGATATTTAAAAATCCAACTTCTCAACTTTGCCTGTCAACTCGAGGAGATTAATTAGCATTTAGAAATCTATTATCACCTCACTCTTATTTCAGTGAACACTTTGAGATCCCCTGTGTTAATTAATGCCTTTCAAACCTTTTCAAATCCTTGGATTTGCAATTCTGGGGAAGCTGGGAAGAACCTGAACCTTGCAGCAAAGCAGCAGCCAGGATTTGCTGGGAGAACTCTGGGGGCAACCACAACCTTCTAAAATGATGGAATTGGGTTTAAAATC